TCCCAATCGGTCGTCATAACTAGGTTGTTCAAGAAGTTGTAATCTGTGATAATAAGTGTTAGTTCTGTGTGTTCCTCAGGATATTCAGCGTAACACTCATAGTTATAAAGTATGGTGACATGATCGCTTAACCCTAGTGGGGTGTCCATAAATGGCCTGTCGATCATGAGGTCCACATTTGTAAGGACGAGGTCAAGTATCGATCAGCTCTGTACCTGGTAGGTGAGCTGACGTGATTGTACAGCGGGATACTTGCTATAAAGTCTTGCAGTTCGGCCTTGTATGTTTCGCTGTGGGTTGCCGAGCTTTCCAAATCGTGCAGTTTGAAATCGACGGAGATAAGAATGTGACTGTAACTTGGGAGTAAGCATTTCATCAGTGATGATAGTGGGTGGCAATCCATCTCTGGAGTGGAAGATGGGGAGCGATATACCACTGCCACGAAGCAGTTGTCGTTGTGTCTGCTAAGCGAATGGCACCATAGCGAATAAATGATCCGCATTTCCGGATCATCCAGTGATTCACGTTGCAAGTCGTTACGGTAGTATGGGATATCACGACCTGCCCTGCTGGGCCGATTGTGTCGGAACAAGGACATAATCTGAATCGCGATCTCGGCATCCATAATCCCTGAGTGTAATCAAGCCTCGGTTATGAAGATGAGATCCCAACCGTTTGTTGCCCGGCGCAACCGAAGCTCGGCGATTATGCTGAGGCCTTGGACACTCGTGCACATGCAGGAAAGTGTTTGGGTTCTCAGCAACGCTCCGCGGCATTTGTGGCTAGGATGAGCGGTTCTGCCGACCGTTGTATGGTCGGCCGCTAGCCGTTTTGTATGGTATTATCGACGAATCACTTAGAGTTGGCTTCGGTGACATTGTGACTATCCTTTCGGACAACTCAGTGTGCACAATGTGTGGGGAGTAGCTGCAGGATTGCACAGGAAGATCCTCACTTTCTTCAGACTTGTTTTCGATGAGAATTTCGGATAAGGTCAGTAATTCCTTTTCCTGCTGTGGTGGTGCTTCAAGTCGGACAATATTTTTCCTCGCCGCTTTGAACCGAAGCTCAGTTGGCAGTCTGTTCCGAACTGAATGCTAGCGTCCCAGTAGCGTAAATGCCATCTGCCTAGTTTTTAACACAACCTTAATTATCCTTGGGTTGCACTCATTGTAGCTTTCTGAACTTGACGGTCTCGAGGGAGAAGTAACAACGACGTCATACAAGAGTAGGGTTTCACAAGTATAGCGCCACTGCTCCCGGTCGTGTGCCTTAGCTTCGCATTCATCGTGCTCGTGAGACTAGGGGATGCGGTGGGGAAAAAACAGTTCTGGCTGCGGCGTTTAGCCGGAACTCTTCTAACTTCTGCCTCGCTCGCTTATGCTTGCTCCAGGGAACGTCTAAAAAACGCGGACCAGACCGATTTCGTTCTGGAAACTATCAGCCGAAAACAACCCTGCTTCCATTTCATCGACAGAGTTTAGCACAACCTGAAGAAGCCTGTGTTCGCCATAATGCTTGGAAGTTGGGTGGCGGGTGATCCTCGTCAAGTTGGAGGGTTTGGTCAGGATAGTGAGGAGGTTACTTGTAGGATTCTACTGGTTCAGGTTATCCACATGTTTCCTCTTCAAAGAATCCGATGTTGACTCAGGAACTTTGGTACATATCATATATATGGCATCCAGTTATTTTCGAGTGTCATTCTTGGGAGTGTGGACCGTAGTTGGGAGACCCAGCGATTTGCTGTGCATCCGTGCAGTGTTATCCTTCACATTAGTTATGAGTGTGGTTATAGAAACAACAGCGTCTGCTTTTTGAGTGCACTTTGATGCAACAACGACCCAGCTGCCACTGGAATTTGCATGTTTCCTGGGTTTCGGAAATGTCTGTTGGGAGGAAGTGGGTTTTGGGGAAAGTGTTGTATATGGGCTGGGGCTTAGGTCTTCGGGAACGCTGGAGCGATTTGGATTGTTGGCAGTGTTTACAGTTGTAACTTTATTAGTGTAGTAATCGGCGTTGTTGAGTTAGCTTGCAGTGGAGTTACGCGCAGGGGCCTGTGTCAGACATTCTGCTATGCTTGTTCCTAGCGAAGCTATTTTGGTGCCCAATATATTCTCAACTACGTCTCTAAGCCTTTCATACTTCTGGTACGTCGTTCTAGGTCTTCTACTTACTCAGGTATTGTTGCTGGTCGCATTCAGAAACTCACTCGAAGCATAGTTTGCGGGCAACATTTATTGTGCCGATGATGGCCGCCCAATTTTGAGATCGACCCCAGCGCAATAATTTTATTAGCAGCACAAACCTTTAGCGTTAATACTCACATTTCGTTCCCCAGCAGCAATCGAATGAAGTGCTGCAGTGCGAGTTAAAGTAACCTAAACGTCATCGTTTATACATGACACATGTTTATTGATATGGATCCATTACCTGGATTTCAACTACATGTTAACGTGTGCACAGTGTTGTATCCAAGGTATACATCGCTTAATCTTTCACCTGACTCTTGATCTGTGAGGCTCATTATCGATTCAGGCGCAACGTTCTCATACACTTAGTGGAATACGCAGGCTACAAAACAGACAATCAAAGTGCGATGTTAACGGCAAAATATTCAAAGTCGCTGACGGCCCTTAGTCTCACGTGACCCGTTCCGAGGAAGATGGAAACACTGGCTTCACCAGGGAAGGGAACGGGTCACGTGTGCTTATAGACCTTCGATCGCTTTGAACATTTTGCCGTTAACATCGCACTTTGATTGTCTGCAACATTCTCAGTCTGTGTCGAAAACGGTGCAGACCAAATACCGATTGGAATTGTTCAAATTTCACCGTTAAAAATTGTATCTGGATTTATCCACCCAACCTGTAGATTTCTGGGATTGACAGTACCTAATTCAAACCTTAAAAGTTGCGTCTAGATACGGATCTCAAGACTGGCCCGGTTCTCTGGTGATTGATGTGCACTGGTTGAACGACGGATAGCAACAAAAGAAAGCAGATGACCATTGCTACAACTTACTTGAAGCATATGCACAGATCGAGCCATAATGAGTTTTGCCAAAAATTAGACGAAAGTATAATTGATCCACTGTCAGCTTCCTCTTCCAAGGCACAAACCAAACGGTGACGAAAGATCCAGTTGTGTTGCCGTGTTACCGTCGTCTACGCATTCAGTTGAACTCTTTTGGTATATTTATGTTCTACTCCTGGCATCAATAGGGACTAAGGCGAGTTCATACCATGGAAGTCGAAAAGCTTATCCCATCAATCGCGAAATTCGATTTCAGCCTGCTAACACTTCACCGAACCACTGATTTATGGCACACTGAAAAAAGTGTCCACAACTTCGTGACTGTCGATGGATGCTTACTGAGAACGCCATGGGGCCACTTTCCAGATGGTTAAGTTCGACTCATTGACATCAATGTAGGATCGCGCATAACCCTCCTAATCTTTCTGCCCACTGACTACTTAGTACTGTGATTCTCACGGCCCATGGGTCGTGAGCCCCACTTCGGGTCGCGACGGGTTTCTGTTGGTTGGCGGACTAAAACATTAAATTATCAATTCTGGATTTTAAAGCAATTTCCTTTATATTAATCACGCGAAAACATGAATATTTAAACATATTTAGATTGCACATACTTAAAATGCTTAAACTATTTAATATTAATCATTTTTTACTTTTCGTAATCTATTTTTATAGGAAAAAATGTAGATATCCAGAGAATTATCTAAAATACCGCCTCCCTTACTAAACTAACAGTGGAGCAGAAGACAAGGTGTTTCGTGTAAAGTTGTTTTCAGTCTTGAGTCTATGAAGCCAGCAAAACTTTTACGTCACTTAGAAACGAAGTAATCAGAACATTCCACAAAGGATGCGAAGTACTTTCGTCAGTGTGAAATCAACCTCGAACACGAAAAACTTGATTATGCAGGAAGATTTCATCAGGAAAACGAAGCACTAGTTCAGCCATCTTATGGAGTAGCATTGGAATTGTCAGGCAAAAGAAACCTTACACAAATAAAGAAGTGCATATAAATCCCTGAGGGTTGAAGATGGCGAAGCTAGTTATCGAGGCATCCAGTGAAGTAAAGTTACAACAGGTATCGCTTTCCAATGATACTGCTCGGAGGCGTAGATCAAACTTGTGGGTGGACATCATAGAACAATTTCGCAAGAAGGCACTTTCACCAATGTTTTCAAGTTGATAGATCAACAGATGTAAACTCATGTTCGTAGTTGCTTTTCTTCGTGTAGTATGGTCATTCAGATGGCATAAAAGAAGAACACTTATTTTTGATCTAACTTGAACTGCAACAAACTTAAAAATATTATGAAGGAACTAAACACACTTTTCGTGACTGGAGGATTAGATTGAATATGTTGTAAGGTTTGTACGGACGATCCACTCGCTAGATTAGGATCAAAATCTGGTTTCCATAGAAGGTGAAAGAACTTGGTCCTCAAGCAAAGAACAACCATGCATGTTACACATATTTGCGCTTACCAGTAAGAGTCTCCCAGCTTTCATGCAAGAAGCACTTAATTCACTCATAAACATTATGAGTTAAATGAGAAAATTTGGGGCTCCCAATACCCGCATGTTCAAGGAATTGGATAAAGACAAGTTCAGATCGTGTTTTTTTCTCTTCCACCTTGTTGTGTGCTGGCTGTTCAAATGAAATGTTGTAAAACATATTTTTAAATCAAAAATTATATTATGTGTATTCCTGAAAAGACAAGAGAGAGGTGACCAAGAGGCCTTAGATGGTAATGAAATTTGGTTGCAGATAATTGTTTACCTAGCAAAAACGCCAGAACATTAAAAATACGTAACCAGAAACTGCAGAGAAATAGGAAAAGTATTTTTGTATTTCAAGACAGCATAAAGGCATTTGGATAAAACAATCCGGAACTGGAGAACAAAAATAAATGTTGGAAATATTGCCGTGTTCGTGAAACTGTGCAATCTTGTTGAGAAACCTGGAGGCAAAATGAGTGACCATTTGAAAGAAAATATTTGTAGGCATCTCGCATCTCTTGAAAACGCGCTCCTGCGCTACTTTCCTCATCTGACAGAGGGAGAATGTGCACTGGTACGCGATCCGTTCTCTACTTCCCTTCATGTAGCCAACACTTCCGATGATGTACAAGATGAATGCTTGGATATGCAGTACAATTACATGTCACGGGATGTTTAAGGAAAAGCTACTCACTGAATTCTGGTGTGCAATCTATCGGTCATGTCCAAATATCCCTATGCTTGCGTTCTAAGTCTTACTCCCATTAGCTTATGCGTATCTCTGGGAGAATGGGTTTTCAATGGTCATTCATCTGAAAATCAAACCACGAAATAGATTACATGTTGAGCATGACATTAGGTTGGCATGAGCGACAAATACATCGCGAAACTTACAGGGTGGTAATGAGCCAATCATCGCATCAAATAGGTAGTTATATTTTTTCTGCTGACACTCATCAGGGCACTTTTAATGCCTTTTCAACAATGCTGCCAATTTCACGATTAGCGCACGCCGTCTGTAAATCAGCTGAAGGTAACCAAGTCCTGGATGCTTTTCTTCCGCCCTTTTCCTGCAACCCTATTTACCCTGACTTTACAAGGTCAAAAATGATTTAGCCCAGGTCTGCTTAGTTTTGCTTATATGTTTATTGTTTGAATCATTCTGTGGTAGCGCGGAAGTCAACCATTGCTGGCAAGGCGTAAAAGCCACAGAAAAAGGAGAAACTAACTATGGCGCCAGAGAGGAAAGGCAACAAATCCTTCGAGACCTCAGAAACGAGCCAAATGGCTCAAAATGAAATATGTGGGGCCCAGGCTGAGAAGAGCGGGGAATGTAATGGTGAAGACCCCGATTTTCCGGAGAGATGTGCTTTTGTTCATGCTCTCAGGAATAATGTCAGGGGAGCAACGCAACCTCAATTGAGCAATTTAAGGTCCATCGAACAAAATCCTAGCCGACCAAAATGGAACATATAGAAACGGATATAGGATGAAACTTGAAGGAATATGCAATGGCGCAATGTGCTTAGGTGCATAGACATGCAGCGAACGAATTCAGGAAAAGCTGGTGGGTCGTAGGAAGGAAACCTATTTCATATCTGTGTGCCTGCGTGAGTGAGTTAATTGCCTGTTATCGCGTCAATAAAGGTTGTGCTTCGTTGTCATGTCGTTCTGCTAAAATTCTAATTCAGCAGTAGGCCAAGCCCTTAAGGTGGCCCACGAAATCATTTGGTAAAGCGGGGCCGGGGCCCGAAAAAGGTTGGGAACCACTAGTTTAGAGCATCAGTGGTGCCCGAGCCATAATATACAGACAAACGTGATGCAACGAGTCGTACTGTGGTGCAGATTTACCCAAAGAACGCAGTGATGTTTATTCACACGCGGTAAATCAGTCAACCGAAAGCATGCACCGGTGAACAAGACGTAATTAAAAAACGAGTGCAATACCTATAGAGACTTTCACATCCACAGCCAGTACAATGCAGTTGATACCACTACGGTGCAGCACCTTAACCATCTTCTTCGTTACAGAAAAGGTATGGATATTGTGATGCTTGCTGGTGATCTGAACACTCAAGTCGGAAAGCTGTCAGCTGATGAGCTTCTTCTGGGTAGCCAACGGTGAGCGGTTACTACACCTTTGTGAAAATGCTTGTCTGTTTCTCGCGAGCATTAACTATCGACACAGCACCCACAGTAGATTGACTTGTCGTCTACTAGCCACGGACAAGCCATGAACGTAAATCGATCACATCGCAATCAGTTATCAATGTAGAGGCTGTGTTCAAAACTGTCGCTCGATTTGGAGTACGAATGTGGACTCCGATCACGCACTGATGTTTGCTGACCTTCGGATGAGTGTGAGTGCACAGACATCAACAGGCGAACCCAGGTGTTCTGAATGCGTATCAAAGTACCCTCACATCTGGACTGTGTAAGCGCCCGCTGAACAACGTCGAAGATCAGTGGTCGCACATTCGCCAAACGTTACTATAAGTAGGCATGTACTAGCAAATCAACTTGCCAACCTGAAAGTTAGGTTTCTACACAGTCTTTGGGACTTCCGGATGCTCGCTGACGTAATCCGGATGGAACAGAACACATTGTCAGGGCAAACATCCGTGCAAGCCTGTAGAGAGACTGCGAAGTCTAGTGGTCTCTTCGTGCATCGGAGAAGGAAACAGCCGCTGCCGTTGGTAACCGTCGGGTGTTACTCCGTCTTACACAGGAAACGGGCAGCAGGAGACTTGGTGTTACTGAAACCATACGCGACGAGACTTGGCAACTTGTCAAAGCGCTTGCAGCGCTGGGCCAAACATTCTGAAAGATCGTTTAATCAACCCGAGTTGTCACTTTTTCGGGCATTGATTGCCCATCCCCTGGGCTATCTCCTTGGATCCGCCCTCACAGTAGACCGTTGAAATTGAATGAGGCCGCAGGAGCATATAGAATTCGCTCAGCTATTGTAGATGCTTTACGCAATTTAATAGGGAAGCTGTAGAGGCAGGAACCTGTCCCAATCGAGTAGAACCACTCCAACATTGTTCCAATTTTCAGAAGAGACTCTTATTCGAAATGCGGCAAACATAGAGGGATTGGTCTGATCACAATTGCCTCTAAATTGCTCGCTTCCGTCGTTCTCCACAGACTGACTGGCACTTATGAAAGTTAGGTTTGCGTGGAGCAAGCCGGGTTTCGTCAAAATGGAGGTTGTATCGAGCAAATCTTTACGTCAGTTGTTGAAGCAGCGCCATCTTTAATGGCGACCCACCGTTGTCGTGTGTCACGACATAAAAGGTGCCTTCGATTCGGTGGACCGATTTGCTCTTTGGGGCTGCCAGCTGAGAAAAGGTATGTTCGGTAAGTACATGAACATTATCAGAGCGCGGTACGCGCATAATTTGGACGGAGTGAGGGTTCATGGCAAACTGTTGCCGCTCTTCAATATCTCCAACGGTGTGAGACATGGTTGCTCGCTGTCACCTTTCCTGTTCAACTTTGCCATTGACGAAGTCATGGAAATAGCGTGCGCTGGACACGATGGAAAACGTGTGGAGTCACTTCCTGGTGAGCGGCTTATTGACCTGATGTATTCGGACAATATTTTCCTTGTCTGTGACAACTCCCAGACGTGCAAGGCAGCACTGGCACGATTAGCACTGGCTGTTCATCATTTTGAAATATGCTTCTCTTCATCAAAATGCAAAGCCTTCCTGAAAGATAGGTAGGGACCCACCCATGCGCTGATGGTTGGTGTTGATCAGTTAGAAGTCGTTCTTTGTCCAGCTACCTCCTTTTAAACTCCCTCTCCAGTTCCGGTTTCGTACGAAATGCATAAAATAATACATAACTTTAGATTGCTTGTTTTTGAATTTGGCTGTGTAGCATTTTAGTATATTATATTTTTTGTATTGCGGCACATTACTTGAGGTGTGTAACTCACTCTCGGCTGACGTGTATTAATGATGATGAGCTTGCGTCATTTATCGCGATGCAGCTTCGGGTTCTGCTCGGAATAAACGCTGGCACTCTTGTAGAATGAAGGAGCCTGTTTTCCGATGCGGATTTAATCAGAGCAGTGAACTTGGCAGCAAACTGCATGGAGGCAGTAACAATGCCACAGTTATTGGAATTCTCCCAGATGCAAGCTGCAACACGTTCTGTTAGTACATCGTAGAGTCTGGTTGTTCTAAACAAGAATATGTGTTCTTACGGATACATCGCACAACACACAGCCGTGGTTAAGCATGCTGCGTAACCCAATGGGCGAAGCAGAACAAACAGGCGTCGTGTGGAACCGTTTAATGAAAGCTTCCTATGTTACAGTGGCTAGAAATGCCAAACCTAAGAACCAATGAAGTAAGGAAGGTAAGGCAAGCTCATTGTCAACCAATCACGTGAGCATCCGTGTTCATGATCAGTGTCCAGCTGCAGGCTTGACACCCGCACTTCCCTGCTAAAGACTGCAGACTTCGGGTAATACCGATCTACTAGCTTAGACATGAGTTTTGAACGTCTTAATTGGGTTGTGCTTCAGCCGTTTTGATTTCTTGTTTGATGAGACCAATACCCATGCATTTTTTCATCCGAAGCATTGCATTGTTGACCTAGGTCTGGAAGCTAGATTGAGCGTGGCTGGACATGGTCAAAGTTGCGGCGTATCGCACGGCCATCCCACAGCTTTAGCTCTGCTTAGTTACTCGTCGAGGGCATAAGTGTAGCAGGTTGCCAGCTTGGTTCTTCAGGCAGCCTCGTGTACACAGGATCAAAGTTATTGAAACAACTTTCCTCTGGCATCTTGTCATCACCATGCCTATTGTCCTGCTTTACCTTCATACTTATTCGAAGGTTATGAAAATGGAAGAGCTGTTTCGTTTTTATTAGCCCGCCAATTATCAAGTCAGCGAGTGACTTCCCTGTCGACAGTTAGTGTCTTGCGACAAAAGAACGAGAGAAGATTTAACTTAATTTGCAGTTCCATGAGTCGGCTTGAGGAGACCTTGCTTAACAGTTTGAACTGCCCGTTCTGTCATTCCCTTCGACGCGGATCGGTACGGTGCAGATTTGTTGTGCTGTATTCCACTGTTACTCAAAGTTTTTGAAACCCCAACTGGTAAAAGTTGTCCCGTTGTCGACAAAGACTGTTACTGGGATACCGAAGATGGCGCATAGGAAATGCATTTTAACAAATGTTGTTGCGGAGGTCGCATATAGCACTGGGTGCAATTCTATCCGTTTAGGGTGGACAGCAATCAAAAGTAGGTACATCAGTACATTATCCGGGCAAAAGTACTCCTCCTGCGTACACGGCCAAAATCTCTCCGGTTACCGTCATGGGTGTATCGGTCTGGGAAATGTTGTCTGGTATTTCTGACATTTTTTGCAACTTTTCGCCAGCCATTCTAAATCCTATTCAATGTCCGGGCGCCAACAGTAACCACGTGCCGGTGTTTTCAGCCCGTTCAAGCCATGGGGTGTGTCATGCAGCTATCGCAGCAACTTTGCCCGTAGTTCGTCCGGTAGAACTATGCGCGAGCTTCGATCTATACAGTCTTCTTACAGAATTAACTCCATGTTCCCACAGGCGAGTGGTTATCAGTTCGTCTGACATCCTTGTAGGCCATCTGGTCCTCAAGAAACGCTGCATCATCAACAACACACGGTACCGGTCTG